CCCCCCCCCCCCCCCCCAAAAAAATCACCATGGGGAGTTTGGGGTTAAAAAAAAAAGGGTGGGGGGGGGGGGGGCACAAACAGTGACTCCATACAGTAAAGTAGTAAAACACTACTTTTATTTAACAAATGTTTATACAACACTAAATATGTGCTGAGGTTTTACAAATGTTAACACATTTAATATTCCTAACAAACCTATGAAGCAGGCACTATCATTAGCTCTCTTTTTCAGAGGAGAAATATGAGCAAAGAGATGTTAATAGGTAAATTGCCAATGGTCATGCAGCAAGTAGTGGTGTAGCTGAGACTTTAGACCTGACAGGCTTACCAAGCTATGGCTACAGCTCTGCACCCAGGAAACACCCTATTCCTCAGACAGACCGGCTTCTTCCTCCAGCTGCTGTTTACCAGCCCTTCTCATGGCAGCGGCAGAATATTTCCCATATCTCTGAGTTCTGCATCCACTCTGTCTACAGTTTAGTTTAAAAGGGGGGGGGGGGGTGACCATTGAAAGTGATGGTAAAAAGTCAATTACCCAGTGATAAGTCATCAGCTAAACAGATTTGGAAATGTTTTATTGACATTTTTGTAGAACTAAAAGTATGTTGATAGTTGTTTCTCAAGAGAATCAATCCCAGGATGCAGGTAAACTCACATGGTGTGGAAATAGAATTATACTAGTAATCTAGTATTTACATACGTTGTTCACAAAGACACATCTGTTTGCACTTAGCGAAGTAAACAGAGTCACACTAGATAATGGCTTTCTGGGGTCTAAGACCTTTTGTGTCCCCAGGCACTATTAGAAAAAGTGGACCTCCTGAGCCCAACAGGACCCCTCACAGCTCTCCAGTGACTTTCATCAATCAAAACACAGCCTCCCGTATAACGAAAACGTGATACTCCTGGAATTACTAGAGTTTGAGAAGTTCTAGAATTTCAAAGACAGGAAAGATGGGAAATTACAGCACTGTATCCTAAAATAAGCACTGAATTTACCTGTGAATTAACCCACCCGCCCAACCCAAGCGTGCTTTATTTCAAATCACAAAACACCAGGAACGAAGACAAACGTTCTTATGTGTAATTTGAGGGTGAAAGAGGATTTTTAAAGGGTGCATTTAATTCACCATAAATAAAATCTGCAGAACCCAAGGGAAAGAGAAACATAAGGAGGCTGCCATTCTCGCCTTAACCCTTCCAGTCTCAACAACTGAAGTGTCTTTCTGAGAAGTAACTCTCTCCAGTGAAGACGTGGTGCAGTCCCCACACGCGTCTACAGTGCTCATCCCTGATCCCTGTGTAAAGACATGACACAAAATGTAACTGGTTTGTGCTTGTTAAATACCAGGAACAAGGCAAACGTTCTTATGTGTAATCTGAGATGACAGATGTATTTTAATACGGTGTGTTTATGGAGACATTACTAAAATTTCAGCCAAAAGATGTGTATATAACAAATGGAAAAGCAGGTCTCCCGCACCTCCTTAGTTCCTCCAATCCTGATATCTAACATTAAGATGCCTAAATCTCTACCAGTGACACCACTTCATACACTGGGGATGGGTGAGGGGAGTCACTGGGCGACCCCGGTCCCCCTCCCAGGCCGAACTCCAGCGCCACCAATGACTAACTGCCACTCTAAGGGTCTGGGACAGAAAGCGAATGTCCCCGAGTCGCAGTGTCCCGGGACTTAACGCAGGAGGCGAGGCGGGTCGGAACCCAGGGGCGGGGCCGGCGCCCTCGTTCCTGACTCAGAGAACGACCTGGAGCTGCGGGAATTTCCCTGGCCCGGGGGCTCCGGCCTTTCCCGCCCTAACCGTGCATAAAAGGGGCTCGCCGACGTGGGGGAGCCACAGCGCCCGCACCGCAGCCACCTCCCCGCCAGCTCTCCCTGCAGGCTCCGCCGCCCGACCTCGTGCCCAGCCCCATGGCCCGCGCCGCCACCCCCGCTGCCTCCTGCGCTCCCCGGCTCCTCCGGGCGGCGCTGCTGCTCCTGCTCCTGGTCGCCGCCGGCCGCCCCTCCACAGGTGGGACCCGGCGTCCTGGGATCCCAGCGGCGGGGCAGGGCTCTGGGGGGCGCCCATCTAGGGACAGTCCCGCTAACCGAGTCTCTTCTCCCGACAGCGGCGCCCGTGCTCGGTGAACTGCGCTGCCAGTGCTTCCAGGCCCTGCAGGGCGTCCACCTCAAGAACATCCAAAGTGTGAAGGTGACGTCCCCGGGACCCCACTGCGACCAGACCGAAGTCATGTGAGTCCCGCCCCGAGGTGCTGCTGCTCCCCCAGAGTCCAGTCGCCCCGACCCTCCGGCTGTCCCCGACCCCGACCCCCTGCCCGACCTCCTGCCTCACTGGGACCCTCCCTTCTCTCTGCAGAGCCACTCTCAAGAATGGGCAGGAAGCCTGTCTCAACCCCACAGCCCCCATGGTTAAGAAAATCATCGACAAGATGCTAAACCAGTGAGTTATGGTTTCGGTCTACACACGTGACTGGAGTCCTTGGTCACACATGCTGGCATCTGCCCCCTGAAGATTAGATCAGAGAAACCCAGGGTTTAGATGAATGACTGAAAAAAGTCATTATTATTTTCACAATTAAATTTGTTTCTAGTGTCCTCCGCCCCACGCCAAACCCCTATTCGAATGAGTGGGGGTAAATGTGTGTTCCTGAAAAATGACGTAGATTTGGCTAATGATGCTAAAATGCCTCTATCAATTAAGGAGTGACTTTTACTTCGGTCCCTCGGGGGCTTCAAACTTACAAAGTAGCACCCTGGTTTGAGGCCCCCTGGGTCTCTGAGCCTTCCTCGTGAAGAGCAGGAACTTTGCAGAGAGACCCCTTGAGTTCAAGCCCAGGATCCCTCTGAATGGTATTTAATCTCTTTGAGGCTCAGCAAAATGGAGTAGATAACAGGAGCTTTTTCATAGGGTTATTTGTGGCTTAAGTGAAGTCATTAATGTATATGTTTAGTCCAATGTGACAATCAGTGAGTAATATGTTTTGCTTCCTTCAATCCAATAATATGATTGTGTCCACCACCCCATTTTTCCTCAATAAAAAGCATTCGGGAGACCAAGTTCTCTGCTGTACAGGGCAGTGGGTACAGCCACAGCTTCCCTGGATGCAGAGCTGGACAAGAGTCTGCTTGCAGAAATCCCTCCAGCCTCAGGCGCCAGGGTAAGGGAAAAGCAGGTCTTCCTAGCACCTGTAACAGTAACCCTCTTCTCATCCTAGGGGCAGCAGCAACTGACCTGGAGAGAAGTAAGATGCCCATTGGTGGCGGTTCCTGCAGGACTGTCCCTGCCCTTATGGGAGCTGAACGTGAAAAAGTGAGCAGCTGGCTTCTGGCTGCAGCTGAAAAGGGTTTAATGTGTTTGACTATTTCTTATGAGAGTTCTATTTATTTATGTATATATTTATTTATTTTTTCCAAGCTTGTATTTTAATATTTTACATGTTAGTATTTAAAGTTGTGAATGTGTTTCATCAAATGTAGCTTAATCCTGATTATTATTTAAGTGAAGATGATGCGCTTTAAATATTTCATTAAACAAATATTTATTGGGAGACCATCAAGTGTCAGCCAGTAGCGTAAGCAAATGTGTGTGCACATCTATTTTTGTACTTTTTAAAAAGGAATGGCAGTTGTTATTTATTGAAATTATTTCACATTATGTGGTCAACATTTTTATGTTGAAGTTTCCCTTTGACATTTTATGTCTTGCTTGTAAGGCATAATGCCTTGTTTAATGTTCATTATGCAATATTTCTCTTTGTCTTGGAACAAAGAAGTTACAATAACTGTTACATTTTTACAAATGACATGAAAATAAAAGTTTTACAAAATAAATAATGTTATATTTTGTTTTGTTTTTCTTGACCTTTAGTTCCTACTCGGTGCCCAAGGTGGTGTACAGTTAGACTGCAGGTTATATTTAACTCTGTGCCTGCTTCTGGCTGGCATTTCCTTATATTTCTCTCACTCAAAAATGAATAGTTGATGCTCTTACAAAACACATTTCCCTTCCACTTCAGCCACCTTGATAATTCTAGTTTTATATAAAATATTGCTGTCTTTTACACTGACCAATTTGTCACTCAAAATTAGTTCTTTACAAACTGTTACATTTTAATAAATATTTTAACAAGGGCTCCTATTAAATGCTTTTGGTAAGTGGTGTTTCAGACTATTATACAATTCTTTCCCTTTTAATGAGGTTGAGAGGAAAAGGTGGAACAGTGGATTTTTCTAAGAACTCAAAAGATTTGTACCATTTAAAATTACAATAATAATGATGAACTATCATCATTAGATAAGATCATTCTGTAAAGTCAAATATATGACAAAAAATAGCTCAAAGGACATGTAGGAAGATCAATGGATTTAGAATATAACACGTTTCTTCAGTTGTTAGAGAAAGTATTAAGTTGAAGAAATTATGTTCAAGAACATATATTGTAATTTCTAAGAAAACCACTAAAAAGGAAAATGCAAAATTTTGAAATGAAAATCTGAGGAGATAAAATGGAATAAACGAAAATACCTGAATGAAACCAAAGATGACAGAAATGAAGGAATAAACAATAAAACAACAGATGGGACAAGAAGAGAAGGGACAAATCTTTCTTAAAGAACAACTCCTAATAATATGAGCACCATCTTTCCCTTCCTGTTAGTGAGGCTTAATTTCCTTCCTCACAACAGTGTAGGCTGGACTTAGTGACTTGCTTCCAAAGAAGGGACCAGGAAAAAATAATAATAAAAGCATTACGGTGGAGAAATTTGGCAGACACACCTCAACCAAGTGATGAAGGTTCCAATCACCAGTTACGGCATGTGAGTGTCATGCACTCCCTGATGCAATGTGATGGGAACGGCACTTCAACTCTATTTATGGTCTTCCACAAAATCCCATAACCTCAGGATTATCATGAGAAAAAGACCATAAAAAATACAAATTAAGAGACATTTCACAAAATATGTAACAAATATTCTCCAAAACTGTCAAGGTAATGAAAAACAAGACAATACTAAGAAACTGACACAGATCAGAGGAAGCAAAGGAGACATGAGGACTAGAGGCAACGTGGTATGCTGGATTGGATCATGGAATTGAAAAAGAACAATAATGGAAAATTGGTGAAATCTGAATAAAGACTAGAGTTTAGTTAATAGCAATTGCTATAGTTTGAATGTGTTTCCCAAAGTTTATGTATTGGAAACTTAATCCCCAATGCAACAGTGTTGAGCAGTGAGACCTTTAAGAGGTGATTAGGTAATGATGGCTCTTCCCTCGTGAATGGATTAATGCTCTTATTATGGGAGTGGGTTCCTGATAAAAGGATGAGTTCAGCCCCTTTCTCTTTTCTCTTCTCTCTCTCTCTCTCTCATAAATACATGCGTGAACATGTGCACTCTCTTGCCCTTCTGCCTTCTGCTGTGGAATGATGCAGCAAGAAGGCCCTTGCCAGATGCAGGACCCTGGACCTTGGACTTCCCAGCCTCTGGAACTGTAAGAAATAAATTTCTGTTCTTTATAAATTGCCCAGACCTGAGTATTCTGTTATAAGCAGTACAAAACAAATACAGCAATTTACCATTGTCAATTTATTAGTTTTCACAAATGTACTACATTCACATAAGATGTCAACATTAGCAGACACTGAGCAAAAGGTCAGATACAGGAACTCTATAAAGTAGCTACACAAAATTTTTGTAAATCTAAAATTATTCCACATTAAAAGGTTTATTCTTAAAAAGATAGGCAAATAGAATAGCAAGAGGGTAGACAAATACAACTATATTAAGAATTACAGTAAATTTAAATGGAATAAACACTGTAGTTAAAAGTCAAAGATTATCAGAATGTATAAATAAGACATACATCTATGCTGCTTAAAAGAGACACACTAAATACTGGTCTCTGGATAGCTTGAACTTAAAATAATTGAAAGTGTTATACCATGCAAAAACTAAAAGAAACCTGATGTGAATATATTAATAACTTGTTAATACCTAGTAATGCATTGTTAGTATAAATTATTATTACATTTATTAATAATTGATATATTAGTGAAGGCCCAATTAATATATTAAGTCTTAAGGAAAAATTAGGCTTAGAGATTAAGAAGGCTGACACAAAACAGAAAGGGGGAAATTCTACAAAAGCTGAAACAATCTAAAAATTTTATGAACTTGATAACATATTATCAAAATATATAAAGCAAAATGGACAGACCAAAAAAAGTAATAAACAAATCTATAATCGTAGTTAAAGATTCTAACAAACACTTTAAATACTTAATAGAAAAAGCAGAAAAAAATTAGTACAGTATAGAAGAATTAAGTAACATAATCAAGCAACTTGGCCTGAGTGACAAATATAGACACTTCACCCAGCAATTACATAAATCGAACTTATTTTTCCTCTGTACAGAGAATATTTTCTAAAAGAGGTTATATATGGGCCATAAAGAATATATCAACAAATTTCTAAATGTTGAAATGTTACAGAAAACATTTTCTGATCATTGAATTTTTTTTAATGATGTTTTGTAATTTTCTTTGTTGAAAAGTGTATCCACACATTGTGAGTGATATATTCACTGTGGTTGACAACTCATCTCTCAACTTCCTAAATTTTGTATTCATAATACCAGAATCATCCTGCTGTTTTCATGTCCAATATAAACATCTAGCACAATAAAAATGTTTCCATGGAGATACTTCCTCATTTCCTAGAATTTTTTTCTGACATATTCATTTGTAATTTTGGCATTTTTGTATCTCTTGGGTAATATCAGATGACTATCGTGTAATTTAATTACTCAACACTACTTCCACAAAAATTTAAAAAAAAAATCTTAAAAAAATGGAAACACAAAGTTCATATTAAAATCTATTTTTTTAAAAAGTCTTGGAATAATGTCCAAATGTAAGCTATTAGATGGTGCTCAGTGTTAATTGAAGTGAATTTGAGTAATTATGGTGTTCAAGTCATCGGGAGGATGTCTTTATTACAGGAATAGAAGAAAAGACTAGCAGAAAGACTAGCAGAAAAGACTTGCAGAAAGAAGTATGCAGGCTAAATATCAAAGAAGTGCATGTTTGGAGTTTTGGCTTTATCCGTTATTCATCTTTTGCAAAACCAGTCATAGTCCCTTGTATGTTGTATGCATCTTTTGAATTTAATATCCACCAATCCCTCATTTTCTGCACATGCCTTTAACCTGTAAGTTACCCCAACCTTCCCACATTCCCCATGGTTGATAGCCAGTAAAGGTCACAGAGTGACCTCTGCACAAGGGCCAAGAAAACACCAGAAGATGCACAAGGAGGCTTCCCAGAGCAGGTAACATCCAAGCTGAGTGAAAAGCAGATCCTAAGGCAAACGGCCTCTCATGTGGGAACCCTCTTGCCCCCTCCTGTCTCAGTTGCTCCCCTTTCCCTGCTCACAGG